TCCACAAAAATCCTCAGCACGGCACCGCTGGAGCCTGGAGCCCCCTCCCCGGTGGGGAAAACCCGGGCGCAGACCCAGCTGGGTGGGGAACGGTGCCCGGCCCCGGGTATTCCCGGTCCATCTGACCGAGGAACGGGGAAATACTCTGCCATCGGGATTTCTTCTTGCCCAAGAGCCTCAGCATCCCCCGGGCTGGCTGCAAGGACCGTGAGGGATTGCTCTGAGGCTGCTCCGTGCGGGGATTCCAGTCCCGGCCGGATTTTTTCCCTGGAAGGGTCTTGGTTTGAGGGTGGGTGATGCCCTGGCTGGAAGGGAAGGATGGATCCGCGGGCAGCGAGGCTGGGATGGACATCTCCAGGAGAGGGGGCCCTTCAGCCGGCTGGAATCGGCAGGGAAACAGAAAATAAAGAAAAGGGGGGGAAATGCAGCAGAGGAGGAGCTGAGGGTGAAATCCCAGCGGAGTGAAGGATGGAAAATCGCCTGCCCGGCTGGTTGGCTCCGAGCTCGGAGCCCCCGAGGGATTCCGGCAGCGCGGGGGGATGAGAGGGGCGGCGGGGAAAGGGAAGCGATCCTGCCGGGATCTACGAGACAGTGCAGGATCGCAGGCGGTGGCTGGGAACCTCCGAGTAAAGCCAGCGTGACAGCGCCCGGCTCATTCCAGCCCGGAGAATTCACCTTCCAGCCGGAAAAGCCCCGGAGGGAGCCGGGTTTGGCCGGTTCTGCGGCTCCCAGGGCTCCAGGGGCTCTGCGGGATGCGGGACGCTCTGCAGGGGGGTCCGTCTCCGACAGATCCCCCTCCCCAAATGTCCCTCTTGGCAAAAAAATGTCCCGACACCGGTAAAGCCCGGCGCTGCTCGGTGCCACCGGCGGAGCTGTGTCACAGGTGCCACCGGAGGGCGTTCGGGGACAGCAGTGCTCCAGAGAGTTAGGATCCTGCTCCCTCCATCCCAATCCTGCCTCCCGGGGTGCCTCTTCCCCCATGCCAACCCCAAATCCCCCTCGGGTGTGGAGAACAGCCTCATTTCAGGGCTCTCCTGGGCAGCCCTCGTTCCCGGGATGGTTTTAATTAAGGTGAGCAGGCTGGGGACGCTGGCTGTCAGCAGGTGGCTTTTCATACCCGGGGTGGGACACCCGCCCTCTGCCTGTGTCCCCCACCCTGACAGCACCAGCCCTGCTCTACCCACCCTGCTGGGACTCAGGGAGATGATTTTAGGGGTGAGAGTGGGGCAGACAACTGGGACCTGTTGCTGTGGGGGGGACACGAGAGCCTGTCCCTCTGTGTGACCCCAGCCAGGGCCAGCCTTGGGGACACCCAGGGGACAGCCAGCCCCGAGTGCATCCCAGCTCTCCAGCCCACATCCTGCAGAGTCTGAGGGGCATCCACCATCCCGGAGGCTTTTGGCTCACACTGCCAGTGCTCGTGGGAGCTGGAGGCCCCTGGTGATCTCTTAGCCCATAGAAAATCCTGCCAAGGTGGGTGTGCAGCCAGGTTTGAGGGAATTCCTGGGATCCCAGAGCTTTTCCTGAGCAGGGCTTTGCGTGCAGGGAGGAGCTATCTCTGCATCTCTGCTGTTCCCTTCTCAGCCTGGGGACAAACTCCATCCTTGCCCTCTTTCCTGCCCTCTGATTCACAGGTACCTTGTACCTGCGATGGCACAGGGCAATCGATCAGCCCAAACTCAGCCTCCTTCCCACCAGGAGGAAGGAGGACAGGGTGGCAGGAGGGAAAAGGGTTCAGGTTGATTTGGGAGCACTGCTGGAGCAGAGCCATGTGCTGGGTTTAACGTGCCCAGCTCCTTTGGATCCAGCTCTGCTCCACCCACAGGTCCAAGCAGGATGGATTGGAGAACCAGCAGCTTCCTCACCCAACAGCTCCAGCACCCCAGCAGCTGCTCAGGGAGGCTGAGCAGAAATTTTTATTCCTCCCAAAAGGCAGAAACCAGTGTGGAGTTCTGTGCCTGTGGAGATGCAAAGAAAAAGATGGTGTTGGGGAGTTTTCCTCTGTCACTAGTGCTGGGCACAAACAGCAAAAGTGAGACACAGACTTATTAATCCCCACGGGGAGATGACTCCTGATAACAGATCCCAGACAGCCAAAGGACAGAAATTAGAGATGCAGGGTTCACTTTTAATTAGGAAGGCTGTTGGGTGTTAGAGCAACTCCTCTCTTCCACTCAGGACAGTCACAAGTGGCTGTTTTGGCCCATTTTGGGGCCAGGGACTGACTTCCCCAGAGAGGAAATGCCACCAGCTGAGTGCTGGCATCAGGCAGGTGTCTCAGCCAGAGGGAGAAGCCTGTGTCTGCCCAGAGCTTTTCCTGCAGGAATGAGGGTGCTGGGAGCATTTGGAAGTGGTGCTGGAGCCCTGCTGCCGTGGCTGGACTCATGACTCACTTTAAAACCAACCATAAAAGCAATTTTCCATGGAATGATCAAAGCTTCCCTGGCTTATCACTGCCCCGATTCCAGTAACAAAACCGGGTGCTCGCAGACTGCCCGGGGAGTAATTGGAGGGCTTAATTGAGGAAGGTCATTAGGGGCAGGCAAAGATAGGGGAGCTGGAGCCTCTCACCTAGTGTGAGTTGCTGAGGCTTTCACAGCAGCGATGGTGAAAAGGAGAGGTTCAGGCTGGATACCAGGGAAAGGCTCCTCACCCAGAGGGTGGTGGGGCACTGAACAGGGAATGGGCACTGCCCCAACAGCTCCAGGAGTGTTTGGACAATGCTCTGAGGCACAGGGTGGGATTGTTGGGGTGTCTGTGCAGGGGCTGGACTGATGACCCTTGGGGTCCCTTCCAGCTCAGGAGATTCCATGCAGTGATTTTCTGGACTAGAGCAGGAAAGCTGGGGCCTCTCCTGGGGTCTGGCCTGTTGGAAGGGATGTCCAGGGAGTGGTGAACATGCAGGGGTTTCAGACCAAGGTCTCAGGGGTCCCTCCTGCCTTTGCAGAATGCCTGGAAAGGTCTTCCACAGCTCCATGGGATGATTCCAGCAGCATCAGGAGAGGGAGAGGTGCTAAATGTAGGCAGGGAGTTATAAACTGGCCACTCTGCCTCACTCCTCATGAAGAGAAGGGAAGGATAATTTCCCTGTCCATTCCTCTCTTCTCCAGCCTCTTCCCTTCCCCTGCTCCATCCTGACACAGAGGTGACTTCTTCAGCCCTCCAGGAATGGATCTTGGGTAGTCCTCCCACCAGCAAGAGGCTGTTCCATACCACAGTTGTTAATATTAAGCTGCTTATCTGCCCCAGGGCTATAAAACTCTCATCTGCAAGGGGGGGGGAAAGAAAATCCCTATGCTCTTTCTATCTGTTCCTGCTTATTGCAGCCTTATCAGCACACCCAGCCAGCCTTTGGGGCACAGGAATCACGCAAAGGCTGCAGCAAACGAGGCTGTGTCCCACAGCGGGGCCAGCATCGCGTGTCCCCACAGGGCCAAGTCCACCCCACGGGGACAGCATGGCACTGATGAGGCCCCAGCAATCTCACTGCTCTTCTGAGTCACCAGGTTAGGCACTGAGGTGCACCTCCAGTGGATGATACCCTCTTTCCATGCAGCAGGGGAATGCTGGCTTTGGGATGTCCCTTGTGGGAAGTGGGTTTGGGATTTTGGTGCATTGACCTGTGGGATGTTCCTTGTGGGAAGTGGGTTTGGGATTTTGGTGCATTGACCTGTGGGATGTCCCTTGTAAGAAGTGCATTTCGGACTCTGATGCATTGACCTGTGTCCTTGTCATAGTAGGTGGAGCAGTTATTTGGCTGGTGAACCTTGTGAGTTGTCCTAAAGCATCCTTCCACATTTTTTCCAATGCCTCTGGGAGCCTGCAGCAGGTTTGGACCTTCCCCTCCGGTGCTTTTCCCACAACATTGGGATCATGATGCTAAGCGGGGAAGACAAAGCTGGTGTGATGCCAACAGCTGCTTGTGCAGGCTCAAAGAATTCGGGTGGCTCTGAGGCTGTGTCACCTCGGTGTTCCACCACAAACTGGTGACCAAGCAGGGCCTGGACACACAGAGTCACTGCTTTTCCCCCAGGCTGGTTTAGCAGGTCTGGACAAGCCAGGATCTCCCTGAAGTCTTGGGCAATCGGCTTCCCCGCTCTCTTCCCCACCACGCTTTCATCTCTGCTTCTTCTGGGAAGCTTTTGTGCAATGCCTGATGAGTGATTGGCATTTGGACATGGCAGGAGCTCTGGCTGCTCGGGGTCTGGCGCTGTGGGGGCAGAACCCTCTCCTGGGAATGGGTGCAGGACAGAGTGTGCTGAACCAGGGCTGTGCTTGTCGCTGTGTCATCGCTGCCAGGTGCTGGTGTTGGCTGGGGTGGCTTTGCGTGCAAAGCTGGGAAAAGGAGGCATCTGGCTCTGCTGGCACGGGCTGACTGGCAGCCAATGTAAACTCTTGGGTTTGAGCTGAAGCAATTCCTGGGTCTCATTCTCTTCCTGCCATGAAAACACCTTTGTTCCAGCCCGGAACAGCAGCAGTTCTGCTTTCCCAGCAGCCAGGGCTGAAGGTGTCCTCCCTTGTGTCCTTCCTTGTGTCCTCCCTTGTGTCCTCCCTTGTGTCCTCCCTTGTCCTCCAGGGCCACTACCGACTGTGGTGGAGGAGGCGGATGAAGGCTCAAGTTGCCCCTTGGGAGGTTTAGATATTGGGAAAACTTCTTCACCGTGAAAGTGGTCAATGGTGGAGTCACCATCCTTGGGGGTGTTAAAACATGTGGCACATGGGGACATGGGTTGGTGGTGGCCCTGGCACTGCTGGGCTTGACGATAATAAAGCCTTTTCTAACTTAAACAATCCTAAAATTCTGTAATTCTGAAACACCAATGGGGACTGTGGGGTTATGGCATGGATTGGCTGTCCTGCGTCCATCAGAGAGCGACTCCCAAAGGATACAGTCCAAGACTGGGTGTGGTGGAATAGCCAACATTTAATGGAATATCCAACACTAGAAACACCAGGAAGCAAAACGGGCAAAAACTGCTACAAAACAGATGAAGCAGAAGTCCCGACGGTTTCAGTTTATCCCATCACCCCCAAAGTCGTTCCAGACCCAGCTCTGCTGCCAGGACACCCTGGGGCTGTCTGCTCCCACCGCTCAGCTCCTGCCCTTTGTGGGGAAGCGCTGCCTGACCTGGAAGTGCTCACACCTCTTGTGCTTCAGGGACAGTCCGTAGGGCGGGGTCATGTCCACCCTGCCGCCCTCACAGACGCTGAACTCCAGCTGCTGGAGCAGCGTGGCCAGGAAGAGGAACACCTGCCACCTGGCAATGTTCTCCCCGATGCACCTCCTCTTCCCCAGGCCAAACAGCAGCACCTTCTCCCCGTCATCTTTGTTCACTTTGGTCCCATCAGCGCTGAGGAAACGCTCGGGGTTGAAGGTGTCTGGGTCCTTCCAAAGCTTCCTGGAAGGGAGAACATGGGGTGTTGAGATGGTTTCTCCTGGTCATGGGTGTCGGGGGGACACTGGAAGGTGGGAACTGTTGGGAAGAACACCCCTGATGGTTTGCCACCATGGGAGGGGTCCTGTTTGTCACTGCAGGAGGGGACCTGTCTGTCAGCACAAGAAAGGACCTGTTTGCCAGCACAGGAGGGTTTGTGCCTCACACGGTACTCACTCGTCGTGGTTCACTTGCCACTGGTTGACGAACACGCAGCGATCCTTTGGGATGAAGTAGCCGTTCAACACCGTGTCCTTGGTGGTGCTGGGGAGAGAAAAGATGGAGAGCTGGGCAAGCCCAAAGGTTCTTCTGCATCCTCAGGGGACTGTCAGGCTGCTCCTGAAGGGTGTGACCCAAACGGGTGGTTTTGTGGGGACAGCTGGGTCCTCCACGAGCCATAACATGGTGCCTCAAGGCCACCTTGTCCCTGAAGCAGCTCTGCCAGCCCACCACCATTCATCACTCTCACTTTTGTTGTGCTGAAGGGAACACAGGTGGAAAGAGAAGTTAGAGGAGATCCACAGCTCCTGACAAGTCGAAGCCCAGCGAGTCCTGCAGGGGTTTCATCTTCAAAGACCTATTTGTGCCCTTAGGACTGGCTAGGAAATACCCCAGATTGTATTCTCAAGGTTTAACAGTCTTCTTGAACCTCTTTCCTCCAGCAGAAAAATTCCAGTTTCACTCCACAGCTCACTCCACATGAGTTGTGATGTGGTTCCTCCCAAGGCAGGAAGAAATATAAACCCAGGGGTGTTCTGCCAGCAAAGGTTTGTGGGGTGAAACCACCCTCAAAACAAAGGACTCAACCCCAGAAGGACAACAAGATGGAATATTTCCCCTTCACAGGGATCAACTCCCTTCCAAAAACCCCAAATGAGGTGTCAGCCGCTCCAGCCCGTACCTGTGTGGGATGGTGAAGGGCAGGAAGGAGGAATGCCTGAACACCTCCAGGATGAAGGCTTCCGTGTAGGGCAGCGTGCCCCGGTCCGACAGCCGCGGCCGCCTCTCCTGCCCGATGGTCCGGTCTGGGGGAGTGGAGCAGGAAGAGGCTCAGGACCAGGGCTGAGCACAGAGCTCTTGGCCCCAGAGGGATGTGGGTCATGGACTCACCCAGCTCCTCCTGGATCTTCTTCTGGATGTTGGGGTTTGTCACAAGGTACATGAGGCTCCAGGACAGGGCTGTGGTTACGGTGTCGAAGCCTGGGCAGAGAGGATGGGTTGTGGTTGAGCTCAGCACAGCACCCACCCTGGCCTGCAGGCTGACCATCACACAGGGCAGTCTGGGCTGGCTGAGGAGGCAGAGGACATCCTGGATATGCTGCAAGGCTTGGGGCTTTATTCTGTCATAATAAACTTTGCTAAAATGTCCTGTTCTCTCAGCCTGTCCCGCTCCTGGGTTGTGTCAGGTTTGTACAGCTTCTCCAGAATTGGGGGAATTTCCACAGAAAGGTGAATCAGCCCACAGACATCTCCCTCAGCCAGGAAAAAACACTCTGGATTGTGAGGATCAGCTGAGCTATATAACCCATGCCCTTCACTTTTCCTGAGCTGAGGTCCCAGACTGGTCTCTGGAGGTATCCCTGGAAGGTCCAGTGAGCAGGAGAGTGAGAGCTTAGACCCAAACCAGCTGCCTGGTGCGGGACAAGGAAGGATCAGACAGGAGGAGCTGGAGAAAACCTGAGATCATCTGCCAGAGCTGAGGAAAGGTGGGAAGATACCTGCTCCAAAAAGGTCATTCACGAGGTTGACGATCTTCTCCTTGGGGATCTGTGTGGCCGTGTTTGTTCCTATTTTTTTGTCCAGGCACTGCTCAATGAGGGAGTCTGTGATGTCCCGGATGTTGTTCTGAGAGGAAGAGGGGACAAGGTGATGGAGCAGGACTGCAGAGGGGTGGGTGCTCCTGGGCAGCCCCACCTGGTGCTGGGGGAACCTGGGGTCACATGGGCTCTGGGGAGCATCATCTCTTAGCTCCCGGGGTCCTTGTGTGGAAACAAGGAGAGGGTTCTCCAAGTAACCTGAGGTTCAGTCACCAGACTGGCCACATCACACAGGGAAGGGAGGAGACGCTGAGAGGTTCATGAAGCTGAGACCAGGGAGATTCAGGTGGGACATCAGGAAAAGGTTCCTCTCCCAGGGAGTGGGGGGGCTCTGCCCAGGCTCCCCAGGGAAAGGTCACGGTCCCAAGGCTGCCAGAGCTCCGGGACAGTTTGGACAACGCTATCAGGGATGGGATTGTTGGGGTGTGTGTGCAGGACTAGGAGCTGGACTGGATGATCCATGTGTGAGCCAACTGAGGATATTCCATGATTCTACAATACCCAATGATTCTGTGAGAAGGAGGACTGGGGAGAGACAATGGCCATTGCTGCTTGGCTGCCAGAACACAAACACCTCGCTGATAGAGAGGGAAGGAGAACAGGTGAGGGTCCTGCAAGCTCTTACCTCGTCGTAGGTCTCGTAGTGCTCCTTGACCCTCTTCTGCAGGAAGCTGACTAAGTACCTGTTGAAATCTATGAACAGCCTCATGCGGCGGCTGGGCAGGTAGCGCAGCACGGGGATGAAGTCGGCGGGGTTGCCAGCACCAGTTACATCAGTGAACTCCTCAGTGGAATTCACCAGGCTGAGCAGCTCCTGGTCCTCGTGCTCGTAGCGCTTGCCAAAGCACATGGCACAGACGACGTTGGCCACCGACACCGACAGGTACTGGTTAAGGTCGAACCTCTTCTCCTCCTCCATCAGCTGCAGGAACTTGGTGACCAGGTACTCGGCCTCCTTGGAGACGTGCTCCTCCAGCAGGCAGCTGCAGGACGAAGTGGGGCTGGGGGCGATGGAGAAGCTCTTCAGGGCGCTCTGGGCCAGCCTCCTGCGCGCTTTCCACACCTCCCCGGAGTCGGGGCTGAATATCAGGCTCTGCCCGTCAGCGACAAAGCGGAAGCTGTAGAGGTCGGGTCTCCTGTCTGTCTCCTACCTGGTTGGTTTTAGGCTCCCAACAGGGATTGGCACCGGGAGCAAGGGGTAATCCTCCTCTGTGTCCTCAACCTTCTTCTGTCACCTCGTTCTCCTCTACCTGATCCTTCTTCTCCTGCCACCTGGATGTCCACGGCTGTCAAAGCTCTCCCTTCACTGCACCACTGGGTATTTATCTCCCCCCTCCTGCTGCAAACACACTTGGGAATAGCTACCCATTAACGAACGGGGCTGACCTTGGCTGGAGCCTGCCCAAGAAGCCAGGGAAGAGCCTTTCTCCCCTCCAGCAGGCTCTGGGCCATGAATGGTGACTTCACCTCGTCAGGGCCATGGAGCCTACTGTGGGAGGCAGAAGGGGGTCCCCAGGACAGGGAGAAAGAAGGGGGTCCCTAAAGACTGCCTTGGAGAGGATGTAGGACGTTGTCAGCATAGCTTGCCTACGGAATGTGGGTGCCAGGCATTTCCCCAAAAAACTTTTCTGGGCTGGCCAGACTGTTCCCAGCTGCCAGAGAGCTGTCAACTCCATGGCCATTCTGGAGGTGCTGGGAGCTGCAGACTGTGAGCGAGGGGACACGTTTGTGACAAGGCATCCACAGCCATCCTCATCCATCCCTGGGGAACCGTCGGGCAGGTGCCCTGTCCCGGGAGCGGTGGCGGCGGGATCATCCGGGCCAGTGGCAGAGCCAGGCTCAGGTTAACGATTGGCCAGGTTTGCGTGAGAAGGCGGCTGGCTCGCTTCCCCTGGCTCCTCCGGGGCAAACAGGCAGCGAGGAGGAGGAGGAGGAGGAGGAGTGGCGGGGCAGAGGGGAGGAGGTGAGCCCGGCAGATAGGAGAGGTGAAGGGGCAGCACGGGGCAAGGCTGGGCCAGTTCATCCCTCCAAAACATTGGGTGACACCCGACAGGGAAATGCTCGAGCCAGCGGGGCCGCTTCTCCAGGCGGGGCAAAATTCAGGGCAGTTTGGGAAGTGCAGCTGGGATGAGCAGGAATGAGCCGAGTTTGGGGGTTTGGCCCAAAGTTTCCTTCACTCTTCGAAAATTCCAGGGGGAATTTGGCCCGGGTAAAAGTTGAGCTAATATTTAATAAAGGCTTTCAACATCTGGTCTAATCGGGCTCGTTAATAGCAATGACGCCGTTCATTAATGTTTGGCAAGAGCAATTACAAAACTCCGGCTGCTAATATTCCTGCTGATAATTCCCGGGAATGCCGCAGCCCTCCCGGCCCCGGCAGGACCCTTGGGAACGCTTTTGGGGAGGCAGGCTGCAGGAGCAGGGTTTGTCCGGCGGGCTGCATACTCCCATCCCTATGGATCTACCCGAACCCATTGCATGGGGTAGGGTTGGGGCTGGGGGGGCTGAGTGACCCCCCGCCCTCCCCAGCAGCATTTCAGACCTTGTGCTGATGCTGAGCCCACCCACTCCTCATCCATCGCATCCCAAAGCTCTGGAGAAGTTGGGGAGAGTCCCGGAGAGGTTCCCCAGGACCCTCTTCCACCCCGTCCCAGCGCTCCCCGGTAGCTGCCAAGCCTTGCGAGGGCAGAGTGCCTCCTGATGAGAACAGCGTTAAGAGCTGCTGCCTTGCGTGCCAGGCAGCCTCACACCCCCAAAAAAAACCCCAAAACACCCTCAGCCCCGGCCGCCGCCCCTCGCTGAACCCGTGGATCCCCGGAGCTGCCTGGGCAGCCGCGGGGACGCTGCCAGCCCCCTGTCCCTGCCGGGTGTCGCTGTCCCCTCCGTGGGTCACCACCCCCCGGGATCGGGCTGTGCGTGCAGGGACAGGAGGGAGCGGCAGGGTGACGGTGCCCGCAGGCACGTGTGGCACGGCATGCGTGGCACGAGCACGCGCCCACGCACGAGGGACACGGAGCTGTGCGGGACACGGAGGGGGCTGGCAGCCCCGAGCCTGTCCCCGCACACGGACGGGCTCCGTGCGTGCAGGGCGCGTGTGCGGGGACAGGTGTGCGGGGACACGGCGTGGGCGCTCGCACACGAGCGGGAGGGACGCGAGGGCACTCGGACAGACACACAGAGCGTTGTGCCCGGTGTTGTACGAGGTGCCAGAGCCATCCCCTGACGAGTGTCCGGAGCCGTGGGGCACCTTTGTGACATTCGTGGTCAGCAGCCCCGCAGCGCGGGGCACCGCTCGGTGTCGCCTGGAGCTATGAGGGGACATTTCAGGTGGCACTCCCCTCTCTCCCTCTTCTCGTGGCTGGAAAGGGCTGGGATGACAGTGTCCTATCCAGGGGACAAAAATGACAGGGGCAGTGCCGTCCCCTCGCAGGTGATGCGGCATCCTGCGGCAGAGGGCACCCCTGTTGACACCGATGATTGTCCCCAATGTTGGGACCCCCCACAAGCTCGCCAGCCCGCAGCCAGCCGTGGGGGGAGCTGCTCCTGAGCTGCTCCGGAGCCGCCTTGACCCCGGGCCAGGCTCCTGGACGGGAGGCCACCGCCCTGGTCCTTTAAAAACCATTTCCCCCCCACCCACCCATAGCGTGACTGCGAGTGACCAGCACGGCCCTCCCGGGTCTGGCCGGAGCCCCTTCGCACGCGATGTCCCTAATGCCACCTCTGGGACCCCCCGGCGGGGCGGACCCCCTGGCCTATCTCCCACCTCGTGGCGGCTGGGCTGGGAACGAGGATTGCGGGCGGAAGGGACAGATTTTGGGAGCGGGCTGCTCCCCCTTGTCCTCCCTGCAGGGCAGGACCTGGCCTGTCACCCCGCGGGGAGCGGGGGTGCAAACTCTGCCCGAGCTCCCCTTCGGACCCGAACATCCGCCCCTCCCTCCGGCTGCACCCTGTGCCCCATCCCAACCCCACCTCGCCCCTCGGGTCGCCCTGTCCCCAGGGGACAGAGGTGACACAGGGCACGACGGCTTCTCACGCGAACCTGGACAATCTTTAAACCGGGCCGGGGCTGCCAGGGCCGTGACCCCCCCGGGTCTGCCCCGCCGCCCACGTCCCCGCGGGGTCCCTGTGGAGCTGTGGGGTGGTCCCGCAGTGCGAGGTGGGGGGAGACGCACGGAGCCGGTGGCCGCCGCTCTGCTCACCGGGCACACGGGCAGCGGGACGGGCACGGCCCCGCGGTGGTGCGCGATCGCTGAACCCCTCGATGGGCGGTCCGCCCTCATCCCCGCGTGTTCGCGGAGCCCCGAGGGGGCTGAATCCCTCAACCCCCCCCCCCCCCCCCCCCCCCCCCCGCCCCTGCCGGGGNNNNCCCGCCCCCCCCCCCCCTCCCGGTCCGCCCGCCGCTGCCGGGGGCGTTTTCCCACGCTGCCGCTGTCCCCGCGGCTCCGGGCACCGCGGATGTCCCGGAGCTGTGGGCAGCGGGGAGAGGGGCGCGGCCGTGGCTGTACGGAACCCTCTGGGTCTGGGGGCGAGCAGGGCAGCCGGGCCGGCCCCCGGCGGGGGGGGGTCCTGGGGAACAGCGGGGCTCGGGACCGGCGCCTTTAAGATCCTGCCGGTAGCGTGACTGGAGTGACCGGGGCGGTGCGGGTTTGCCCAAACATCCCGCCCTCTTCGCACGCGATGCCCGCCCCGGGGTTGGAACCCACGGGCGGCACCGACACCCCCCCACCCCCGCACCCCACGACTTATCGGGACCCCCTTCCCTTCCCTGACAGTCCCCCCGCCCGCCTCGCAGCCTCCCCCCCGGGGATACGCGGGGAGCGGGGGTCCCGCACCCCACGCGTGGGGGGAACCCCGGGGATGGGGGGGCGTGGGGGGGTCCGGGGAGTTCTTGGGGAGTTGGGGGTCACGTGACAGGAGGCGGCCTGGCCAATCAGCTCGCGGGGCGATGCATATAAAGCAGGAGCCGCGGGGAGCGGGCACCTGTCGCGGGATCGCTCCTCCCGCCGCTCCGCACCGCTCCTGCCGAGGTGAGTACCGGAGAGCCCGGACCGCCATGGACGGGGGCTGGGGGGCTCTTCCAGCACCCCCGGGTGATGGACAGCCCCGCCGTGGGCTGTCCTGCTTTTCCGACCGCAGCAGCATCCTCTCTCCACCTGCTGGAAGGAGGTTTTGGGGGGTCCTGGCCGTAATGCTCCCCTCGCGGGTCCTGCGCTGCCAAGGGCTGGGAAGGGGTCCCGGCTGGGCGGCACCAGCTGCTTGCAAGGTCCCCGGAGCCCCCCTGAATCTCCCCCGCAGATGTCCCGTGGGTGGCTGTGGCACCCTGCCGAACCCGAGGGAAGGGGGGATTTGACAGCCAATGTCCTCCCAGCCCTGCTTGGGGCTTTCAGAAGGATTTCTTCCCGTGAGGAGCTGGAGCTGAGCTTGGTGATCCCTAGGAGTCCCTTCTAACTCGGGGAACTCAATGATCCCATGGTTTCTGACAGAGCTGGGAGTGGGGTGCACCCATCCCGCTGGCCCCGCTGCAGGCAGGGTTATTTTTCACACCATGGATCTCAGGGACGATTCCTGGCACTGCTGTGTTTCATGTGCTGGTGAGTGGTGGCAGCTCGGTGATCCTCAAATCGGGATCAGCTCTCCTCTAGCCAAGAGCTCTGGAAAAAAACTTTGAGGAGAAAAGAAAATCCTGTGGTTAAGAGAGCACCTTTGCTTCCCTGGCACTTAGACAAAAAGTTGGGGGACCCATTCCTTCCACTCCAGGCCAGCAAAACCCCGGTTTTTAGTGTGAGTAGTTTCCTAAAGCGTGACAACTGTGGATCACAAGTGAAGCCCAGCTCTGCTCCTCTCCTGTCCTGTGCTGTCACAGCTCCAAGTGTCTCAGCCCAGAGACCAGCCCCAGCTCCTAACCCATCTTTGGTTTACTCCTGAGGATCTGCTATGGGAAAAGGGGTGCCACAAGGTCTCTGATGGACTGAGGTCAGCTTGTGTGTTTTGGTAGGTGTTGAACATGGATATAGGACCAGGAAGATCATACTTGGGTGCCCCTGCTCACCCAGTGAGCTGTGTGTTCCCACAGAGCAGCCCTGTGACATCCCCAGGTCCCCCAGTATTGTGGCCAGCAGGTCCATCCTCCTGGCTGTGACTCCTGATGGGTTTGGTGGTGCTGGAAGCACATTGATGGAGGAGCTGCTGTTCCTGTGCTCCTGCTTCCCTGGGATTTGCTGAGCTGCAGTTTTCCATGCCTTGTTTTACAACATTGTCTTCCTTGGGCAGGAGCCACGGCTGTGCCAGTGGGGGTTTGGGTTTTCTGTGAGGAAAGGGGTGCTGCAAAGTCTCTGACGGGTTGAGGTCCCCCTGAAGGGATGGGTGGGTGTGTTGGGAGCACTCACAGGTCTCCAGGCTGTGCCGCTGGCAACCCGCAGTGCTGCAGGGGCAGCTCCATGCCCCGAGCTGCTGAAGGGCTGTCACTCCCTGTCCCTGTGTCTGTCAGGAACACCTCCAGGAGTCTCAGCCCAGAGAGCAGCCCCAGCTCCTAACGCATCTTTGCTTTATTCCTGAGGGTTCTGCATGCCAGTCTAGGGATCTGCTGCGGGAAAGGGGGTGCTGCAAAGTCTCTGACGGGTTGAGGTCCCCCTTAAAGGATGGCTCGCCCCATCCCCCGAGGTGCTGAAGGGCTGTGGCTCGCTGTCCCTGTCAGGGACACCCGCAGCGCTGAGCCCCTGGCTGCTGCCGGCTCTTGCCCTGAGCGCGCTCCCCTCCTTCAGGGCTGCCCGGTGCCGGCGGTGACACTGCAAGCTGCCATGTGGCCGGCGGCTCTCCCCGGCGTGGTGTCGGCCAGCGAGGTGCTGCTGGTGGCCGCGGTGTTCTGCCTGGTGTTCCTGCTGCTGCAGCGGCTGCAGCCGGCCGTGCCCGCGGGGCTGCGGCGGCCGCCGGGCCCGCGGGGCTATCCCGTGCTGGGGAACGTGCTGGAGCTGCGCGGGGACACGCACCTGGCGCTGACGCGGCTGAGCCGGCGCTACGGGGACGTGATGGAGGTGCGCATCGGCACGCGGCCCGTGCTGGTGCTCAGCGGGCTGGACACCATCCGCCAAGCCCTGGTCAAGCAAGGAGACGACTTCATGGGGAGACCCGACCTGCCGAGCTTCCGTTACGTCTCCAACGGGCAGAGCCTGGCGTTCAGCCCCGACTCCGGGGAGGTGTGGACCAATCTCATCATTCTGTGTTTCTGTGAATTTTTCCCCAGGAGCACATCCGGGACATCACGGACTCGCTGATCGGGCACTGCCAGGAGAACAGTGTCGGGGAGGACGCCCGCGTCCATCTCTCCGACGAGAAGATCATCCACATCGTCAACGACCTCTTTGGGGCAGGTGGGAATGTTTCTGAGGACACCATTGGGTCTTTGGGACGAATCCCAAAGCTGGAGACTGGGTGGGGATGTGGAGCTGCTGGGCGGACCCGTTGGCCACCTTTGGGTGTGTGGAGCTGCTGTTGGGTGCCCTCCTGAGCACTTTTTGGTGGCAGCTGATGGAGCAACAAACATCTAGAGTGGTGGAATCTAAAACACTCACTCACCTGTGCTCTTGTGGTCACTAAATGCCTCCTCCACGCCCATCCAGGCTTTGACACTGTGACAACAGCCCTGTCCTGGAGCCTCATGTACGCTGCCTTGTACCCCGACGTCCAGAAGAAGATCCAGGAGGAGCTGGGTGAGTCCATGACCCACATCCCTCTGGGGCCAAGAGCTCTGTGCTCAGCCCTGGTCCTGAGCCTCTTCCTGCTCCACTCCCCCAGACCGGACCATCGGGCGGGAGAGGCGGCCGCGGCTGTCGGACCGGGGCACGCTGCCCTACACGGAAGCCTTCATCCTGGAGGTGTTCAGGCATTCCTCCTTCCTGCCCTTCACCATCCCACACAGGTACGGGCTGGAGCGGCTGACACCTCATTTGGGGTTTTTGGAAGGGAGTTGATCCCTGTGAAGGGGAAATATTCCATCTTGTTGTCCTTCTGGGGTTGAGTCCTTTGTTTTGAGGGTGGTTTCACCCCACAAACCTTTGCTGGCAGAACACCCCTGGGTTTATATTTCTTCCTGCCTTGGGAGGAACCACATCACAACTCATGTGGAGTGAGCTGTGGAGTGAAACTGGAATTTTTCTGCTGGAGGAAAGAGGTTCAAGAAGACTGTTAAACCTTGAGAATACAATCTGGGGTATTTCCTAGCCAGTCCTAAGGGCACAAATAGGTCTTTGAAGATGAAACCCCTGCAGGACTCGCTGGGCTTCGACTTGTCAGGAGCTGTGGATCTCCTCTAACTTCTCTTTCCACCTGTGTTCCCTTCAGCACCACAAAAGCGACAGTGCTGAATGGCTACTACATCCCCAAGGACACCTGTGTGTTCATCAACCAGTGGCAAGTGAACCACGATGAGTAAGTATCCCAAACCCCCCCTGCTCATCCAGGCTGCTGTGGCTGCTCTTGCCATTCTGATCACGCCCATCCTCATGCCAGAAAATTACTGGATCATGTACGAAAGGGCAGATTGGAACAAAAATGGCGTGGGTTTGATGCTGAGCCCAGCCTTGACTCTGCTGGGCATGGAGCTGGTCCAGCTTGACTCGGCCCCCGGTCCAGCAGCTCCCCAGCACCGGGGATTACCTAATTGGTGTGCTCCTCCGGCTGCCGGATAGTCAGGAATCAGAAAATCCTGCTGCCCAGCAGATCCTGTGATCTGAGCTGACAGCTCTGGATGTGCTCAATGGGAATTGCTCACTCCCCTTTTTAAGGGAGAAAAATGTGGTGACGTTAACATCGATGGGCTCGTGTTATGGTTGCTGATAATCAGCTTTGGGAATGATGGGGGGACTGGGAAGCAGAGCCCCTTCCTGCCCCTCCACTGCTTCCCAGCAGAGACATTCCAGCAGGGATTCAGCTAAGGCTTGATACAGGAGGGGGTTCCCAGAGGCGGTGTTTTGGATGTTTGTATCCAAACACCTCAAGAGACCAGAAACCTTCTGAAAGAAACCCACCCTGGTCCCCATTTTCCCTGTTTGAAGGGCTGCTGGCTGATCCCCGTGCTGAAGCTGCAGGTTCTCTGGCTGCTGGGATTAAATGGGTGGAATTAAATCCATCTCTGGTGTCTGGCCAGGCAAACACAGCCCGAGCCTGGAAGAGGGTTTCAATGGGCTGAGCTGATGGAGTCTGACACGAGTTGGTGCTGGAGATCAGGGCCAGAGCTTGCCAAGGGTGGGTTTGGGCGGTGGAGTCAGACAGTGCTGCAAAATTCCTCTCTGCAAGGAGGGGTTTTGGCCACTGACCCCATTGCAGGCGGCCAGGCTGTCACAATGCCCAAGGGCTGGAACCCTCTGCTCTGGAGCTGGGATCTGGGACACCTCAGAGCCCCTTCCAGGGCCTAAAGGGGCTCCTGGAGAGCTGGAGAGGAAATAGCGACAAGGCATGGAAGGACAGGACACAGGGAATGGCTTCCCACTGCCAGAGGGCAGGGATGGATGGGAGATTGGGAATAAGGAATTCCTACCTGGGAGCGTGGGGAGGCCCTGGCAAAGGAGAAGCTGTGGCTGCCCCTGGATCCCTCCAAGTGTCCAAGGCCAGGCTGGATGATATATGGTCTCTTCGAGCCAGGTCTCAAAGCTCTTGGAGATCTATATCACATCCAAGATAGCTCAGCTACCTCAGAAGGCATAAAATCAGCAGGATGGCTTCTGTGGTAGTGTTGGAAACAGAAAAGTTTTAATAAAAGGCAAAAAAGACAAAAACCAAGCCAGGTGCAAGAGGTTCCTGCTCCTGGTAAAACACCTCACAAAAGCCATTAGTTTCTTGGTTCTCTTCTTTTTCTAGTAAATTACTCAGGCTGGACTTTTGGGCTCCTGTCCAGTTAGCTGTCCTTAAGTTTGAGATGAAGTCCCTCAGGTCCTATGAGGGGTCTTCTTTGCTAATTGAGGAAAGAAACTTCTGGGCTTTTTTCCTTTTTAAAAAGGAGACAAAGGATGGTTGGTCACTCCATCAACAGAGGGCACATTCCTATGGCTGGACAGGACTCGGAGCACCCTGGGATGGTGGAAGGTGTCCCTGCCATGGCAGGGCATGGCACTGGATGAGCTGTTATGTGACCCTGTGACCAAAGCCTCAGGAGTGTCCCCTCTGTGTCCTAGTGTGAAAAATGCATATTTTATGACTGGCTTTTTGCAAATATGAAAATGAATATTGTATGTGTTATGTTAGAAAGTTACGCTGTATTAATTTCCTTAAGTAGTGTGTTAAATATAGTTTCAGGTTATAGCATAATGTTAAAATAGAAACTATGCTAGGTTAGGCACTTTTTTCTAAAGAAAGGACTCGCACTGAGATAGCAGCCACAGGACACTTAAATCTTTCAGAGAAAGGGAATTTATTGCTCCATTATCAGGAGAAACTAACTTCTTCCTGCCTCACTCAGCCGTTAGGATTCAGAGGAAGAAGTTGACAGTGACCAGACAGAATCCTCTGTTTGAATGGAATTTATGCATCATGTATGATGTGTATGAACATGCAACAGGCTGTCGTTTTTAAGGGTTAATCCTCTGTTAACGTGGGTCCTTTTTTGGGCTTATTTTGCCCAGAAAAAGGTGCCCGGATGTCCGCAACTCTTTGTTTTTATTGTCTCGCGCTGTCCTACTCTCAATTGTTCAAATTTTATTACTCTAATTACATTACTAGTTTTATAACAATTATTTTGCCATTCAACATTTAAAAATTCTGAAACCAAGCTCTTGGCGCTCCTCACGTGCAGGACGCTGTGGAAGGAGCCCTCAGCCTTCAGGCCCGAGCGGTTCCTGAGCGCGGCGGGGACGGAGCTGAGCCGCACGGAGAGCGAGAAGGTGCTGGTCTTCGGGCTGGGCAGGCGCCGCTGCATCGGGGAGACCATCGGCCGCTGGGAGATCTTCCTCTTCCTCACCACGCTGCTGCAGCAGCTGCACTTCAGCCTGCGGCCCGGGGAGCACGTGGACGTCACCCCCCAGTACGGGCTGACCATGAAGTACAAGAAGTGCGAGGCTTTCCAGATCCGGCAGCGGTTTCCCGTCGGGAGCTCTCTGTGAGCTGCTGGAGGGGCTTGGAGCTCGGCCCCTCGCTGCTCCGCTGGAGGATGGTTCTTCTCCGGGGGTGGCAGCTCTTCCCTCCCACGTGGATGTTCCCCAGAGGTGTCTTGGAGAGAGCCAGCCTGTGGTGGGGACGGGGTGCTGGAGGGTGGGGTGTGATGTCCTCCACCTGCCACGGGCAGCTCCCTCCATCCAAACACAAACAAACCTGCTGGTTCCTCTCAGGTGACCCTGCCCACCTTATCCCACGGGGTGGAATCCTCTTTTCCAGCTCCTTGCACCACTGGGATGGATCCTTCCTGCTGCTTCAGAAAGGTTCTGGAGCCTTCAGCAGCGCCCACCTCGAGGGGACCCATCCTGGGCGCACCCACACACCTAAATTCTTTGAATGTAAACTCCTGGAGTGAATTCCTGAGTTAATTCCTACTGATTAAAAAAAAAAAAAAAAACAAAAAAAACCCACCACCTGCTGAGCCTCTCACAAATTGAGATTTTAAATTACCTCCTGGAAAATCTCCAAGGGCTGGGAGAAAGGCACAGAGAACTGTAGGACACTCCTGGCTTTCACACTAACTCTGCACTTGCTGCCTTTTTTAATGTCAGGGTTTTTTTTCCTTTATCAAGCAATAGATTTCTGTGTCCAGGTTAAGGAGCAAGGCTCTCAGGATTGCAGGAGGGGCCTTTTGCTGCGTTCAGCTGTAGCCAGCAGGAAGGATGAAGCCTCGTGGCAAACGGAGCAGCAATTCCTGCCTCTTTGTGCCTGCTTGGGATGCAGTCTTGTGCTGGGGTGGAAACCACACCATATTTCTAACCCAATAAATACTTACATGAACATCTCTCGAGTCTCTTTCTGACATTATTCCACTGAGAAATTATTTTTTGCGGGGGAAAAACATCCTATACCCCTCTATCATTCCTAGAAATCTGAGTTGGTGTGTTGGATTGTTGTTTTTCCTGTGGCATTGGGGGAGGTTTTTAATCCCAAAGGGGGCTGATCCTGGTCTTTCTCCTGTGTAAAAGCAGAAAGGTGCTGCCAAGCTCTGGATCAGTTCAGGGCTTCACTAAAAATCGGGAGGAGCTTTCTATCCCTGAAAACCTGGAATCACTAGGTCAAACCCAGCCTTTCAGGGAGCCATCCCTGGGGGGTGTTTCATCCCCGTCTCAGAGCACCTTTGAATCCGAAGATTTGCACCACTTCCCTTAAAAAACAAACAAAAAAAGGCAATGAACGTGAATTTCCCGTGGAACTGAGAAGGGACTCTGTGGGAAGTTGGGGTCTGTTCATCCCTGCAGGGATCAGCCCCCCAGAGTTCCCAGCCCCAGCGGAGCGTGGCGTTATTGTTGATTTGGGTGTGGTGGCGTGGAAAGGCGCTGCGGAGGAGAGGAGCCTTGAGAGGGGATGGAAAGGTGACAGAGGTGTGACAGAGATGGAAGGGATGGTGTGATGGAGGAATGGAGATGGTGGACAGGATGGAGGGATGGTGTGATGGAGCTGATAGAGGGAATGAAGGGAATGGAAGGGATGGAAATGTGACAGAGGTGATAGAGGTGGGATGGATATGGGATGGATGGACATGGAGGGATGGAGATGATGGACAGGGTGGAGAGGATGAAGGGATGGACATGAGGGAGGGATGGAGATGATGGAGGGATGGTGTGATGGAGGGGATGCAGGGATGGAGGGACAGAGGTTACAGGTGTGTGACACAGGTGTGTGACAGGTGTGTGACACAGGTGTGACAGCTGCCGGAGGGCCCCTGGCGCGGGCGATGGTATGATAGAGATAATGGAAGGGATGGAGATGATGAAGGGGATGGAAGGAATGGAAGGGATGAAAAGGTGATAGAGGTGTGATGGATATGGGATGGATGGACATGGAAGGATGGAGATTATGGAGGGATGGAGATGATGGAGGGATGGAGATGGAAGGATGGTGTGATGGATATGATGGAGGGACAGAGGGGACAGGTGTGTGACAGGTGTGACACAGGTGTGTGACACAGGTGTGTGACAGGTGTGTGACACAGGTGTAACAGGTGTGTGATAGGTGTGTGTGACAGGTGTGTGACACAGGTGTGTGACACAGGTGTGTGACACAGGTGTGTGGCACAGGTGTGACAGGTGTGTGACAGGTGTGTGACACAGGTGTGTGACAGGTGTGTGACAGGTGTGTGACACAGGTGTGTGACACAGGTGTGACAGGTGTGTGCCAGGTGTGTGTGACGGGTGTGTGACAGGTGTGTGACAGGTGTGTGACACAGGTGTGACAGGTGTGTGACAGGTGTGTGACACACGTGTGACAGCTGCCGGAGGGCCCCTGGCGCGGGCACTGCGCATGCGCACAGCGCGGCTCCCACGCCGTCTCTATGGCCCCGCCGGCGGCCGGAGCGCCGCGCGGAGGGGCGGGACCGGAAGTGGCGTCACGCCGAGCGTCTCTGAGGCGGAGGGGCCGCGGTGAGGCGGGAGCGGCGGCGGCGGGTGAGGGCCACGGCGGCACGGCCCGGCGGTCCCGAGGGGGCGGGCTGGGTGCCACAGTGCCTTCCCGGGGGGCTGGGGCTCTGCTGGACTGCCGTGAGGCGCGGTGGCGGCGCCAGGCCCTGCCCGGCCCGAGCGGGCCGTGGTGGGGAGGTGGGGCCGGGGGAGGCACGGGGCGGGAGGCCTGTGGGGCGGCTGTGGTTTACAAGGGGTTAAACTGTGTTTGAGTCCCGTGCTTGCTCGAGGTTGCTGTGTTTACATTTGGGGGGCCATGTTTGCCTGTGGGGGGCCCCTGTTTCTATATGAAGCTCCCTGTGTTTACCTATGGGGGCCCTGTGTTTATCTCTGTGGGGGGCTGTGTTTGCTTCTGGGGGCGTCTTGTGTTTTGGGGGGACCCTGTGTTTATCCATGGGGGTTCCCTGTGTTTTTCCATGGGATATCCTAGTGCTTATTTTTGGGGGTTCCCTGTGTTCATCCAAAGAAGGCTCCCTGTGTTTATCCATGGGGGTGTTCCCTTGTTTATTTTTGGGGGGTTCCCTGTGTTTATCCGTGGGAGGGGTCTGTGTTTATTTTTGGGGGTTCCCTGTGTTTATCCATGGGGTTCCCCTCTGTTTATCCATGAGGGGTTCCCTGTGTTTATCCATGGGATATCCCTGT